ACTTCGAAAATCTCTTTATGGCCTAAAACAAAGTCCTCGAGCTTGGTTTCGTAAATTTTGCAATGTGGTACATCAATTTGGCATGCAGAAGAGTACTTCTGATCATTCTGTATTTTTCAGAAGTACTGAGACTGGTTTGATTCTACTTGTGGTTTATGTTGATGACATTGTTACCACAGGGAGTGATTCAACCGGCATTACATCACTCAAGTCATTTCTCCAGACTCGATTCGAGACAAAAGACTTAGGATTGTTGAAGTATTTTTTGGGTATTGAAGTGTCTAGGTGTAAGAGAGGTATATTCTTATATCAAAGGAAGTATGTCCTTGACTTACTGAAGGAAACTAGAAAGTTGGGGGCCAAGCCATGTAGTGCTCCAATGACTCCTAATTTGCTATTTGATGATCCTGAGATGTATAAAAGGTTAGTGGGCAAACTGAATTATCTTACAGTAACATGTCCAGATATTTCTTACTCTGTAAGCGTCTTAAGCCAGTTTATGTATTCTCCTACTGTTATCCATTGGGAAGCTTTAGGACAGTTTTTTGCTACTTGAAAGGTAATCTAGGTCGTGGCCTCCTTTACCGTAATCATGGGCATTTGGACATTGAGTGTTTTTCAGATGCGGATTGGGCAGGTTCGAAGGTTTCAGATGCGGATTGGGCAGGATTCGAAGGTTTGAATAGAAGATCAACTTCAAGGATATTGTGTCTTTGTGGGTGGAAACTTGAATATTGTGGAGGAGCAAGAAACCAAAATGTAGTCTCACGATTCGAGTGCTGAAGTCATAATATCGAGCTATGGCACAAATCTGCTTGTGAATTTAATTTGGATTCGTCAATTGTTAGAGAAGTTGGCTCAAAGTCATCCTCACCTGCAAAGTTTATGGTGTGATAAAATCAGTTATGGTGTGATAATCAAGCTACTCTTCATATTGCATCAAATTTAGTATTCCATGAACGAACAAAACATATCGAGATTGATTGTCATTTCATTCATGAAAAGATATAACAGGGTGTTATCTCTACAGGGCACGTTAAAACAAGTTCACAGTTAGGAGATATCTTTATAAAAGCTCTAAATGGACATCGGGTTAACTATCTTTGTAACAAGTTGGGCATGATTAACATCTATGCTCCAACTTGAGAGGGAGTGTTAAGGATTAGTTGTAAATAGAATTCTGTTAGCAGTTAGATTTCTAATAGGTTTATAGTATCTTGTATGTATATATATATGTGTCCCTATTGATGAATCAAAAAAGCAAAAAAATATTTTTCCACATTAAATTTACAGAAGGCTGCAATGATTGAGGAAATGAGAGCTTTGGCAAAAAATGAGACATGAGATTTTGTAATTCCTCCACCAGGAAAGAAACTGGTTGGATGTAAATGGGTGTTCACAGTTAAACATAGGGCAGATGGTTCAATTGAGAGGTACAAGGCTAGATTGGTAGCCAAAGGGTTTTGTCAGACCTATGGGGTTGATTACCAGGAGACATTTGCTCTTGTAGCCAAGATGAACACTATCAGAATTTTATTGTTTTGTGCAGCCAATCTTGACTGGGAGTTACATCAATTTGATGTTAAAAACGCCTTTCTACATGGTGATATGAAAGAAGAGGTGTATATGGAGATTCCTCCTAGATTTGCGCCTTTCTACATGGTGATATGAAAGAAGAGGTGTATATGGAGATTCCTCCTAGATTTGCTGATGACAAGACCAGAGGGAAAGTTTGCAAACTGAAGAAGTCATTATATGGGCTGAAGCAGTCACCAAGAGCATGGTTTGAAAGATTTAGTAAAGCCATGTTCTCTTTTGGGTACATTCAAAGCGATGCTGATCATACCTTGTTCGTTAAACATCATGCAGGTAAGATCACATTACTTATTGTTTATGTTGATGATATAGTGGTGATAGGGAATAATGAAGAAGAAATGACTCACTTGAGAAATGTCTGAAATGCTTATCACATCCTGACGATATGACCCCAATGGACATATCTACTACCTTTCCCAACATCCCTTTTAGGAGCTCAAATTTGTCTTAGCTTAGGGAGTTTGAGATTAAGCGATTTGGTAAAGTTGAGATATTTCTCCTTTGGAATTGGGAGTTGCTATATCTGAAAAGGAATTTTATTCTCTCAAAGGCGCGTACATTCTTGATCTCCTTAAGAAACCAGTATAATGAAGAAGAAATGACTCACTTGAGAAATTTGTTAGCTAGGGAGTTTGAGATTAAGGATTTGGGAAAGTTGAGATATTTCCTTGGAATTGGAGTTGCTATATCTGAAAAGGAATTTTTATCTCTCAAAGGCAGTACATTCTTGATCTCCTTAAGGAAACCAGTATGTTGGGATGTAAGCCTACAGAATCACCCATTGATGCTAATCACAAGCTTCAAGCTGGAGTAGGAAGTCCGGTTGATGTAGGCACGTATCAGAGATTGGTTGGGAGACTGATTTATCCTTCCCATACTAGACCAGATATTGTCCATGCTGTTAGTCTAGTGAGTCAGTACATACATGACCCTCGGGAATCTTCACTTAGAAGCTGTGCATCAGATTTTGAGATATTTAAAATCAGCCCTAGGTTGAGGATTGTTATTTTCTAAACATGGCCATTTGAAAATAAATGGGTCCACAAATGCAGATTGGGCTGGTTCTCTTGATGACAGAAGATCAGCCTCAGGTTATTGTGTTTTTCTCGTTGAAAACTTAGTCAAATGGAGAAGCAAGAAACAGACTGTCGTTGCTAGGTCCAGTGCAGAAGCTGAGTATAGAGCTATGACATAAGGAATCTGTGAACTTCTATGGTTGCGTAGAGTGATGGGAGAATTAAAGGTGTTCGAAACAACAGATACATCCTTGTTTTGTGATAGTAAAGCAGCCATCAGTATCGTGAATAACCTAGTCCAGCATGATCGAACTAAGTACATAGAAATTGATCGTCACTTTATAAAAGAGAAGATAGTTGAAGGTTCCATAAATGTTTCCTATGTGGCTTCAAAAGAGCAACTGGCTGATGTTTTTACAAAGGGCTTGAGTAGCAAGTTGTTTCATCCTTTGGTTTGCAAGTTGGGTATGTGTAATATCTTTGCACCAACTTGAGGGGGGTGTTGAAATCCTTATAATCAATATTGATTTACTTTCCTAGGTAGCTAGACTTTCCTAGTTGATTATTTTCCTATTCTAGAGAGATTCTTGTATATAAATTACCTAGTGTAGGGATTATAATTAACACAATAAAAAGAAATACAACATATTCTTTCCTTTAATTTCTTCAGCTACCTTCATCAATTTTGGAACAATAAGAAATCAATTGGAAATAGTTGTAAGTAACACTTTGGTATAAAATATAGTTGTTTCACCAAATGAATAGATGACTTTCTAGACTACATAAAATTCCTTTTACTTTAAAAGAAAAAAAAAGTTCTAATCAATAAGTTTCTTATTTTTAAACATAAACGAATTTTACCCATGCTTCGACAAATGTGATAGTGTTGTACTTGATCGCACCAACTTGCTACTTCACACTCAACTTTACATGATGCAAGTTTAAACTTTTGATTTCCAAGAATCTCATTGAATATAAAAAAAGGCTTCAAGATAACTACCATCTAACATAATCTTACATGAAGAACTCTTCGCTTAAAATAAGGAATATGTTTAAATCTAGGAATGTGCATTGCTTGCGAGCTACAATCTACCATTTCATAATCCCAAAAATTTTACTCCAGAAAAAGTTTATCCTCTGCAGTCATCTTTATTGAAAAGGTTGCTTTAAACATTGTACTATGTCACTGAGATAGGAGAAACCTTGCTATACGATCTAGGTGATGGAAACACAAAAACAAGACTAGTTCATTTCTAAATCTCAAACATCGTTAAATCCTTAAGTATATGAACAATACTTTTGGAGTCTACCAGAAAATACAAGAGATGAATTTTATTGATACTTTTCCATAATAATTGGATCCTTCATTCAAATTCTAATTTGTTCATGCTTGTAGAGATGGCAATTTAACTTTACTTCAATGGTAACTCGTGCTTTACCCCATTCCATCTCATTGACATTGAAAATTTTATTTTATTTTTTATTGAGTTTTATAAATGTGGAAATAATTTCCCAAGAAAATACACTATTTATCACAATGTTAATATTTTCTCTGATATTAACAACTACAACAACCACTAAGCCTTATTCCAAACTAATTGGGGGCAATATGAATCCTTCGTTTCCATGCTACTTTTCTCATAGCTAAGTCTACTAATTTCAAGAAGTAGTAAATCTTTTAAGCAACTGCCCTCCATATAGTTCAAGGTCTACCTCTTCTCTGTTTGCACCCTTAACTATCAATGTATCATACTTACGAATCAGAGCATATGCAGGTCTGTGCAAAATATGGCCAAACTATCTCAGGCGTCCTCTCATTCTATCTCCAACTTTAGCCATTTGCACCTTTTATCAGATGTGGTCATTCAAATCCATCTTGACATCCCCATTTCTGCAACATGTGTTTGTGGACATGTTGGGCACTCGGGACCTATCATTTACTCCCATATAAAATGGCAGGTCTCATTTGTATTATGTTTGATGTAACATATGAAAATATAATATTTTAATAATTTAAAATTTCAAAGCTTGAATTGGAGATGCTCACATCTGGTATGATTCAAATTGTGCTGGGGATGAGAATCGAAAAACATGCCCCTCCCCATTATCATTCTTACATAGTTAGGCGTGATGATTAGTACTTCGGTCTTTGAAAAATTTCTGCAAGTTTCCCCTCATAGTGTGGGAATTAGCTGGCAGTTCATGTTCACAAATCCATTGATTTTTGAAGAATCTAGAGTTAGATTGTTTTCCATCACATATTTCATATCTGAACTTGATTTTTACTTGGCATTTGATTGTTCTGTTATTACATGTTTCCAAAGCTCAACTTGATTGTTTTTGGTGTTTCTCCCTGAACTCATCTATTACTTCTAAATGCTTGTGTAGGAGTTCATGGGAAGAAATCTTCTTGCTTTGAACGTCATGTGGAAGTATGTGGAACAGGTATGCTGTTTTTCTGCTATAGATATTCACTGTGTTGGATAGGATTATGAGAAAATTTGTTATAATATTAGAAACATCACCAACTTAATGTATTGTGGAAATTTAGGAACGTGAAGTTTCATTTTGTAGGCCATACAATGCTAAGTGCAACTTTACCCAAAACCAAAAAATCATCAAGGGAAGCAGTGATTTCTATGGCGGTCCCTTTTTTGTCATCACTTTATATGTAGCTAAAAGAGATTGAAAGGCAGCTCTATAACTTATTTAACAAGTAGATCTCCTGGATTTTATTCCTTCTCTAGTTTTTGATCAATTTCGAAAAGATTCTTAAGAACCAATTAAGAAATTAAGGAAACTAGCTAAATAGTGATCAATTTAGCCTCTTAACTCAAAAGACTAATAATTATGTAGCAAAGTTTTTCCAGTTTCTAGTGATAATATTGCAATGAATTTCAGTGCAGTCACTGCTGGATAGATTTTTATTCTCTCATGGCAAAATGTTAACACTAGTTGAAATTCATTTTCGATCAGAGGTTACAGATTGTTTTATGCTAATTCTAGTGGAAAATTTATTTTTAAGCTTGGTGCTTCTCTTAAATTATACAGCATTTCTCCCAGCTTTTGTAAAGCAACGTACCCATTCTCTGGTCATGTTTCCTTGTGAATGGAAATTTTATTTTTAGGTTTTGCAACTTGTTTTCATGGTTTAGGGTCTTGGTGGTTGGGAGTGAGAGTGGGAGGCAGTTAATTGTCAGCATGAATGTCATATGTAAATGTAGTATGGCTATTAAATCACCATTGCGAGATTCAATTACAGAGTGTTGTTACCAAAGAATGCTCCAGATGCTTTAATCACCTGACTTCTCATGTTTCTGCAGGTTTTTTTGTTTTACTTCTTTAGTCATTCCTAATACCTTTTTCTTTTTCCATTATTGTTTTCCTCTGCTTAGAGATCCTTCCCGCTTACCGAGGAAGAGTATCTATTGAGGCTTGACGATGTCGCAAACACATTGAAATGTTGGGGAGCTGTCTCACACATTCGAAGCAGCTTAGCAAAGTCAAAGGAGCGTCCTCGGATTGGGAAGGTAGACTAATAGTACTGTGTTTGCAATTAATTGCCTTTGTTTTTCTAGGCTGAATCTATCATTGGAACTGTTATAGGCTTAAAGAGAATTATAAGGTAAAGTTGAAAATTCCCTGCAATTGATGTAAAAAAGGAAAGAAGAAACAATTGTGCATGAGGATTTTAGAGATTGATATACATACGTGACATTTCGTCAGATCATCTTATTATATTTTATTAAATTCTTTTTCATTATGTTTTGTTGCTTCTATTGAAGTATACTTACCAATCACTAAACTGAAAATCAAAAACTTGTTTATCCATCAGCCTTAACATCAAACAAAATTTCAACTTGTAACAAACTACTTTTAGTTTCCTCATCATTGGATGGACCTCGTATCCCTTATCCCTCCTGTCATCCTACCTGACTGTTTATGTAAAGGGGAAATTTGTTTGGTGAAACTTTATGAAACATTTCCCTGTAGATAATGAAGCCAGGGACAATGAAAAGGGTCCTAATGTGGCTGCCAGGAATTTGCTCTTTCCTTATGATATATGCAACACAAATGCATTCACTCTCTGTCTCTCGTCCTATGCTTCATTGTACACTATTCTAGCCTTCTGAAAATACTGTGTTCATCCATTAGAAGCTCTCATCTTGAGACTTCAAAATATGTCATCTTTTCTTTTTCGTTGTTGCTTTGTGACATTAAAGCAACATGATTTTTCTGAACTCATCACTTGGTATAAAATCTAACATTTTCTACTCCTAATTGAGTGGCAAAAAAAGTAAAAAGAAAGGGAAAAAAAAATACGGCCTTTTCATTTTGTTGTGGCACCTTATTTCTTATTACTGTTTGTCGCAGGCCGTAAGCATTTTTATCGACATGGATGAGACAGGAGGCCGTGCGAATGAATGGATATACAAGTAGATTGTGCAGGATTTTCCCTCTGCCACTTTGGTGCATCCTGTGAATATGAGAGACACGATCCATCCAACTGTCATAAATTACTGTATGGAAGCAGTTGTTATAAGGCATTGAACATTTTCTGCTTCATATTTGTTGTAAGTTTTCTGTCTTACTAGATAGAAACCACAGTGGCATGTAAAGCATTTTCATAGTTATTTTGCTTGAAATTTAATTTCATTTATGAGCACATTCTGCCTCTTATTTATTTATTTATTTATTTATTTTCGGGATAAGTACTATTTAGTCCCTGAAACCCTATTTACTACTTTCTTTTTAGTTAACTAGTTTTTCCATGACACATGTTGTACACTATCATTGTTCCTTTTTTACTTATTGTTTATGCTCATTTATTATTATTTTTATATAATAATTATTAATTATAATTTTTATTTTATAATAATTACTTTTATATATATATATGGCCTAATGAAAAAAAAAACCTTGAACTTCGACATTTTTAACAATTTTAACGTATTTAATCAATAGCAGTCTCAAGTAGTATATCACGAGCCTAATTACTTGGATGTTCTTTCTTTATCTTGCTTTTTCCACACGTAATATTGTGAGAATTTTCCGAGAAAGTAATCTCTTGCTTCTTCATCGATGGAGCGTTTTTTGAAGTACTATATAAATGTCATTCTCGATACATTTATATTGCAAATGTTCAAGGTTTTGATTTTTCTAAAATGATACTATTTGATGATTTGTCATACGTAGCTGCAAATTTATAGTTGGATGATTTATTTCATTTAATTTAAATTTGTCATACGCCGATCTTCTTCTTAAATGAAATATTTTAGTCAATGAATAATATCAATTTAATTTACCTCCATTTTCATTTTATTTTAACTTTCTATTGTTTAGCGTTTCCTCTTTTTTTTTTTTTTTTTTTTAAAATTTGTCATACGCCGATCTTCTTTCTTAAATGAAATATTTTAGTCAATGAATAATATCAATTTAATTTCACGTCCATTTTCATTTTATTTTAACTTTTCCTATTGTTTAGCGTTTCCTCTTTTTTTTTTTTTTTTTTTAAATTTTTTTTTTTTTTTTTTTTAAAGTCTCAAAACTTGCTTGCAATTTTCTTTTGATTAAGAAAAGAGAAAAAAGAAAAAGACAAAAAGAAAGTGACAAATCTAGAGAAATGTCTAAACTAAAGAAATGAGTATAAATTGATCATTTTAATTTTTTTAATTAGAAATTTTAGCTAAATGCATTTAATTGGAAAGCAATTACAAAAAAATTGTAATCATTAGAAATAAAAATTTATTCGACTAAAAAGACTGGTTGCCGTTAAATGTTTTTAGAAATTAAAAATAAAAAATATATTAATGAAAAATATAGAGTGATGTTATTTTCAGAACATAAATTATTATTAACACAGCAAAATTTGTTAATGGACAAACTTGCCCTTTGTATAAAAATGATGGTCTACTGCTCTCAATCCATGATTAACATTATACCAAAACTTTTATATTCATCCACAATATCTTAAATTTTTACTCTTCTCCATTATCTTCTCCTTCTTCACCTTGTAAAATAAAACAACCATTTTTTCTTATTCATCAATTTTTAATTTTTCAATTATTTATTTATTTCTGTTTCTCTATTTATTCCAACCTTTAAGACCAATCAATCTACGCTTGTTTTTTTAGTAATCAGTTTCTAAGTCTAATTTCCTTTTCATTTCCTACCCATTTGCAATCAAAAATTGAAAGTGTTAATATAATTAGCCAAACATATTGCTTTTTGGTTTTTAAATAACCCGAGATAGAGATATTGCATTTGGTTATAGGATTCAAGCAAGACATAATGAACTTGGATGGAAAATGATGGGATTTAGAAGAATTTGTGGTGTTTAATATTACCAATAGATTTGCTGGGGGAAGGGATAAGGAAGCAAAATGTGAGATTTTTTTTAACTCCGACATTAGAGTAAAAACTCGGGCAATTTTGCATTGTAAAGATGAGATAAGTAAAAGGAATATAAAGGGCAATTTTGTCTATTAATAGATTTTGCTCTACTAATAACAATTTAAGCTCTGAAAATAATACCACCTAAAATATGTTAATAATAGTTAAAAGAAAAAAAATATATTAATCAAACTATATCTATAATAGTTATAAGATTTATAATTTTTGTTTCAATTAAAATTTTTAATTAATATAAAACTTTCTAAATATTATTAAATTAATATTTAAATGTAGAATTTAATGAGTATAAAACTTCTCAGTTCGGAAATAACAAAAGTTTTTTTTTTTATTGGGAATTACAGAAAATAATTACCTTTATTTTTTCAATTACTGAAATTAAAATCTTTAAAGATATTTTTGTCCATCTTTAAATTAATTAAGGATATTTTTGTCAATTTTATTCTTTCTATTCCCTTTTTATTTATTTATTTTTGTTGTTGTTGTTACGTATAATTACTCAACTAAATTTAAAGATATTACGTATAATTGCGTATCATCGGATTTATCCCAAAAAATGAGCAATTATTTCTTAAATCATACTCCCTCCGATTCATTTATATAGACATGACTAACTTTACCAATGGATTAAGGAGTTAGTTAAACTATAATCTTTAGCCAAATATTTCCTATTTTGCCCCCAACATTACATTAATTTAATATTTTCTTTGAAAGTCAAATATGTCATACGAATTTATTCTCATAAACACAATTAATGATTTATATCCATAATTAAAGGATAAATCATAGCAAAAATTCACTCATTTCTCCTAATTAACATCAAGTTTTACCTCCTAGACAAATTTTTAAATTTGGCCCATCAAATTTCACCAAAATTTTGCACTAAAAATGGAAAGCCAAATTTTGGTGGGAAATGAAAGTTTAATTTTCGTTTAAAAAATGTGGACACTTAATAAAGAAATTATGTGCAAATAATCTTTTTGGAGCCAAAATTTTGATAGCATTAATTGTCTCTTCAACTTCTTCTCAAATACCCACTTATAAATAACGTCAATTCAATAGCTAACAATCATTGCACATGAACTATAGCAAAAAAAAATCCAAAAGTCCACTACCTACAACCATTTCATATCAATTTTATTTGAATCTACAACCTCCTGATTCGTCCACAATTTCAGAAGATGTGCTCACTCTAACTGTTGGTCCCTTGAACTTGATCAATTTAAATGTAGAAAAAAATACACAATCAACGAATCATGATGAAGAGCTTGAATTCACACAATGTTTTCGGGCATGGGCCGCAAAGAAAAAGAACATGACAGAGGAAACTAAAAATTTAGGGAAAAATATGCTTCTTTTTGAAATGTAAGGAGAGTTAAATTTGCACTATATCGAGAAAGTTACGCACACATTGTCTATTTCAAAAAAGTCAGTTTATAGAGTTTGACATATTGTAAAAAATGGTGCACTAGTTACAAATGAGATGAATAGTCCTTGCCAACATATTTGCCATGGGATGAATGGTAATTGAAGTTAATATAGAAATAGTGAAGGAAGCATCAACAATAGTGCAACATCATATTGTAAACATATTTGCCATGTAATAGTAGTTTCATATGCTTTAAAGAATAAATTACATTTAGAAGTTCAAAAAATATGGTCTTTTTGTTTAAAATGTGCACTAGTTGTCTTTGTAAAAAGTTGCTTCAAATCATCTTTTGGATAATAAAAATATGCGCTCAAATATTGCAAATGTGGGGTGTTTTTACGTCAAATATTGCACATATATTATTATTACACGCATATCTTATTTCTGATTGTATGTAAAAAAATAAGTAGTAGTCTTTGTTAAGTAAACATGCACAAAATTCTAAATGGGTGCAATTTTGCTTGAAACAGAAAGAGAAAGATAATACAGCTATGAATTAGTTAGTCAACCATATTTAATAAAATATTTCAAATTTGTCTGCCACTTTATTATTTTTCTAAAATGTTGGTACTCTAAACAAAGAAAATCAAAGGTAATTTAAACTTTGCACTTTGGTCATAGTCCAAATTAAGTAACTTTGTCTATATAAATGGAACACCGAAAATGGAAACTATATAAATGAATCGGAGGGAGTATTAATTATGGGTATCTGTATGATTTAGGATTTTTAATATAAGTAATTATATTCGAAAATCTAAGGGCGCACATGCTTGGGCTTAATACATCTCATTGATATTTGTACTTTTTGAAAGAGTCTCATAGTTGAATAATGGGTAACAATCAAACTTTAATTTTTTTTGAAATTAGTTAAAGGAGTTAGGGTTTTTTAGGGTTTTCACTTGCAATAAATATTTTTGATTTGACATATTGTTGAAAAAAATGAAATTGTTACTTAAAATGCATGTGCTTTGTATTTGGATGATTTGCCGAAAAGTATTTGAGTTAAATATACCATTTTTTTTTTTGCATTATAATCTAGATGGTTGAGAAGAAGATAAATGTTCTATGGGTTCATGGGGGCATTTTGAACATATACCACAAAGAGTATACATTGATGGAATTAGAACCTAAAAAAGCATCTGTTGACTCTAACAGATGCTCATATTTTGAGTGTCGTGGTAAAGCTCTTGAGTTAGGGTACAGTAATGTGACAAAGTTCTACCATAGATGGCTGGTGGCTAGTGAGACTGAGGTATTTACTACCTTGTACGACTACAAAGACATAATGCAGGCATTGGATTTCATCCCACATGTAGGAACCTTAGAGATTTATTTTGAGCTTGCAATTGACATTGCTGACATTGTGGAGGTAGGTGAAGCTTTATTAGAGGGGATTAAGAAGGGGGTTGAAAATGAGGGAGTGGGTAAAAGGAGTGAAAATGAGGCAGGAGGTAACATGCAAAGTGCTCTTAATGAAAGTGCCAACATGTCAGGGGGTAATGTGCAAGCCACCAGGGGGGATAGGGCAAATGTGAAATGTTTAAATGAGGATGGGGCTGGGGCAAATGTGGAAGATTTAAGTGGTGGTGGGGTCAATATGCAAGGGTTTGAGGTGCCACAAACTAATGTGATAAGGGCATCTAATGAGGAGGTTGATGTACCATCTAAAGAAGGGGATACTTCTGCAAGAGATGATAGTAGCAGTAGTGGAGAAAGTGTGGAGGAAAATAACATGGCCAGAATGATGATGGTGCATCTAATGATGAGGATTATGAGGGTGATGAGGATGGGGATAGAGATGGCAGTGATGTGAATAAGGAGCTCATATCTATAAGGGAAAGAGTTAGAAGGTTCAAGAGGAGAT